GGAAAAGGCAGGGAAAAGCCACACCCTATTTCGATAAGGCCTTCACCTCAATCTACAAAATAGTCTTCTTTTAAACTGGGACTAAGATCCAGCCCAGAAATTCCTTTTTCCTAGGCCATGACATCCAAACTTTTCTGATAATACAAGGCTATCAGTAAAAATGTTTAAGCATATATTCTCAAATATCTATAATAATAAAAACATAATATGATAATTAGACTGGACAGCCGAACAACCTTCTGGACAAACCTGGGGGCCAAAGCAGAGGCAGTTAGGAGCGATCAGGCAAGCAGGGGAGCATTTAGAGGTGACCAGGCAGGCAAGCTGAGCAGTTAAGGGGAATTAGGGAGGAAGGTGAGTGGCCTCTAGTATTAACATATTTGTTTATGCCAGAACTGGTTTGGCTCAGTGGATAAAGCATCGGCCTGCGGACTGGAAGATCCCGGGTTCGATTCCAGTCAAAGGCATGTACCTTAGTTGTGGGCACAAACCCAGTGGGGGCTGTGCAGGAGGCAGCTGGTCGATGTTTCTCTCTCATTGATGTTACTAGCTCTCTATCCCTCTCCCTTCCTCTCTGTAAAAAATCAATAAAATATATTTTTAAAAATAATAATAAATAAAGATCCCCCAAATGCATCTACCCTCCCACCCATTCAATTTTCTGTTTCCTCCCTTCTTTAAGAAAAATATGGTTCCTTCCCCTAGGTAACAAAGTATCCTAATAAAAATTATTTTTTAATGTATTACTGGCTCTTACTTCAACAACATTGACTAAATATACATGATTTTCTCTCTTCTATCCCAAATGCCCATTGAAACAATAATAGAAAAAATAGTTTACAATTAAATAAAAAAATATAACCAGAAACCCGAAAGATGGTGGCGTAAGTAAATACCTGTTCTAAGCACCTCCCACAACCTCATCAAAATTACAACTAAAATACAGAACAACCATCATCCAGAACCACCAGAAAGCTGCCTGAATGGAAATCCTACAACTAGAGAAGTAGAGAAGAAAGCACACTGAGACTGGTAGTAGGTGCAGAGGCACAGAAAGGATTGGTCTGGCACGCATGTGTGCCACTTTTTAATGTGGAGACTGCTAGAGGAGCAAGGGGTCCCAGCCCCACATCAGACCCTCAGCCCAGGGTCCCAGAGCTGGGAAAAGAAGTCCCTTTAGGCAGTAAGAACTAATGGCTGTAAAAACCAGTGCGGATGGGGCTCAGTGACACAGAGGCTACTGGGAACCCAGCTGTTCCTCTTAAAAGGCCAGCACCATGAACTGAACTCACAAGCTCCCACTTCCTCTGTGCTCCAGCACCAAGGTGAGGCTCTGGGGAATATAGACACCAGATCAAGGAGGAATTGGATTCAGGGCAGAAACCAGATCAAGGTGCTTGTAGAAATCACTGTTCCTATGCTGGGACCTCCCCAATTGCAGGTCTGACTGGCAGCCATTTCTGTTTGCTCCGCCCTGAGGATTTCCTAAGATCCCGCCTCATCCAATTTACAACCCCACCCAAGCTGTGAACAGCGGCTTTTGCATATGAATGGCCTGTCCTTGCTCAGGCTAAAATCACTCAAGCAAGTTGCAGCTAGGTTAGGGAGCCCCAAACCTATCAATAAAAGGCCCAAGAACCAGTACCAGCACCAGCCTGCCTTGCTCATACCTGGCCTCATCTGGACACTTCCAAACTCAATACAAAGAGGAGAAATCTGCAGATCTTTCTGTAGCTCCTACTGGGTGGCTGACTGCACTGCCCTGGAGACCCAAGAGCCAGTGTACCCAGTGACCAATGTAAGACCATAACAGATTACAACTCTACACATTCATAAGCAACACACTCAAGGGACAGACTCAGTGAGCACCAAAGCCCCACTGAACCAAGTCCTGCTCCATAAGGGTGTCTCAGTCCTCACAACCAACTGGCCTGGATGTCAAATCCTCCCAGTGACACCAACAGCAATCAAGGCTCCACTACAACAAGACTGTGCTCACAGCGCACAAAGGGGCGCACTTAGAACTCCTAGCTCAGGTGCTAGGGAAGCTGAGCCACTGGGCCCCATAGGACACCTACTACACAAGGCCACTCTACCAACTCAAGGACACTTAGCAGCTCTACCCGATACACAGAAACAAACACATGGAAGCAGCCAAAATGCAGAGACAAAGAAATATGTCACAAGTGGGAGGAGGAAAAAAGGAAAAAGCAAACTACTGGCTATAGAAACCCACAGTTATAAGGTTACTTGAGAATCTTCTAGAAACCTAAAAAAAAAAAAAAAAAAAAAAAAAAAAGGAAAAGGACCAGTCAGAAATTAAGCATGAATGAAATAAAGAATAATATACAGGGATTCAACAGAAGAGTAGAGGACTCTGAGAGTCAAATCAACAATCTGAAATATGAGGAAGCAAAAAATACCCAACCAAAAGAGAAAAAAAAAAAGAATCTAAAAATATGAAGATAGTGTAAGTAGCCTCTGGGACAACTTCAAACATATCAACATTCACATTATGGGGGTACCAGAAGAAGGGAGAGCAAGATATTGAAAACCTATTTGAAAAAATAATAACCGAAAACTTCCCCTACCTGATGAAAGAAATAGATTTACAAGTCCAGGAAGCACAGAGAATCCCAAACAAGAGGAATCCAAAGAGGACCACACAAGACACATCATAATTAAAATGTCAAGGGCTATGCCAAAACCGGTTTGGCTCAGTGGTAGAGCATCGGTCTGTGGACTGAAAGGTCCCGGGTTCAAATCTGGTCAAGGGAATGTACCTTGGTTGCAGGCACATCCCCGGTAGGGAGTGTGCAAGAGACAACTAACTGGTCGATGTTTCTATCTCATTGTCAATGTCATCATTGACATTTCTAGCTCTCTATCTCTCTCCCTTCCTCTCTGTAAAAATTCAATAAAATATATTAAAAAATAATAGTAATAAAAATATAAATAAAATGCCAAGGGCTAAAGACAAAGAGAGAATCTTAAAAGGCACAAGAGAAAAGCAGTTAATTACCCACAAGGGAATGCTCATATGATTGTCAGCTGATTTCTCAACAGAAACTATGCAGGCCAGAAATAAGTGGCAAGAAATACTTAAGAGTGATGAATAGCAAGCACTTACAACCAAGATTACTCTACCTAGCAAAGCTATCATTCAGAATTGAAGGTCAGATAAAGAGCTTCACAGACAAGCTAAAGGAGTTCATCACCACCTAACCAGTATTATATGAAATGCTAAAGGGTATTCTTTAAGATGAGGAAGAAGAAGAAAAATCAAAAGATAAAAAATATGAACAACAAATACATACCTATCAACAATTGAATCTAAAAATCAAAATAAACGAATAAGAAATCTAATGAGCAGAATAAACTGGTGAATAAAATAGAATCAGAGGCATGGAAATGGAATAGACTGATGATTCCCAGAGGAAAAAGGGGTAGGTGGCGGGAAGAGATTAAACAAAGATCTTAAATGCATATATACATTACCTATGGACACAGTCGGTAGGGTGGAGAAGGCCTGGGGCAGGGCAGAAAATGAATGAAAGAGGGAAAGGGAGAGAAAAAGAGGGATATCTGTAATAACCTCAACAGTATTTAAAATAATAATGATAAATGTTTTAAAAATCATGCAAATGTGTCATCCTACTCCAGAAAAAAATATATAACAACATTAGAAAATCAAAAAGGGTGCCATTTGCAGATTAGTTTTAAAAACCTCTAGATCCATGTATCAAAATACCCAAGAAGACTAATTTAAACACAGATTGCAGGACTCCACCCTCAGAATTTCAGATTCAGTAGGTATGAAATGGAGCTGATGATTTTGTATGTCTAACATGTTCCCAGGTAATGCTGACTCTGCTGGTTTGAGGACCATATTATGAAAACCATCATGCTAAGTAAACAGAATGCTCATTAAAAAGATTATTTCTTTATAAATTCTAATTAGCATCCTCAGAGAGATTCAAACAAATAATACAACCATTCTTTTAAAGTGGGTAGGGACAGCAATTGGAAAATAAAAAATATTCCTGAAAAACTGGAAAAAATACAATTTCTGAATTTTAAAAAAAATTAAGACTAAATAACAACTAAAATTTAGTATAGCAGTGTAGAAAATTGTCTAAGACATCTTCTAAAACACAAAACAAAAGACAAAGTGATAGAGAATATGAGAGAAAAATTAACTGGCATAAAGGGTCCATATCTACCTAATAGGTTTCTGGAGAGAGAACAAACACATCACAACAAGTAATCAATAATAAAAAAAAAATTGCCCTAAGCTCAAAAAAACTGAAACTTTGATACTGTTTGGCTAGTTTCCAAGCAAGTAAAAAAAATGTAAAGCCAACAATTAGATGCATAACTGTGACATTTCTAAACTCAGACAACAAAAAGGAAACGCAAAAAGCTTTGAGAGGAAAAAAAATAGGTTATTATAAAGCAATATGAATCAGACTAGCATCAGACATTTCATTAGCATGTAGAAGAAAATGGAATCTTTTTTTCAAAGTTCAGAGAGGAAATTATTTTAAACCTAGAATTCTATATCTAGTCAAGCTATCAAATACGAAGGCAAAATAAAGAGATATTTGGAAAGTCAACAATTAAGAAAATGGACTTTCTATCTAGTTTCCTATTTCTACTGTAAGAAATTATCATATATGTCCAAAATGGGTTCAAGGAGCTAATGTTAGTATATTGGCAGAATTACATATTTTAGAAGCTCTGGGGAAGAATCCATTTCCTTGCCTTTTCTAGTTTCTAGAGGCTGCCTAAATTCTGTGACTAGTAGTCTCCTTTATTTTTATTAGTGTTATTAAACATAACCAGTGATTATTAGAGATTTTGAATTCCTTAAAGACATGCAACTTACTAGAGCAGCATTAATAGCTTTTGACAGAATAAATGAAAAACATCAATATGCTCTTTATCATTGCCTTTAAAAACATTTTAATAAATTAATATTTCTATTAATGAACACCTACCGAATCATTCGCTGATAGAGCAAGTGCAAGGTTAACTGTAAGAAACAAAAAAGTAATTGAATTTAGTAAATTTCCTTCTACTAAAATTCATTTTCCCTCTTAATATTTACAATGTAATAACCAAAGCACAGAAACATTTAATATATTTTCCTTATATGTTTTTTACAAGGACATGGAGAGAATTCAGGAAGTAAAAAAAAACCTCAAAAGTAAGATTCCAACCTAATAGATGCTTTTTAAAATTACAAATAATTTATTTATAATCTATTATAATTTTGTTTAAATAATCTACTTAGTTTTTTTAAAACTATGTTAATGGTACATATATTTAATTATTTTCAAAAGCATGTTTTCAAAAAAATATCTACCTTTTAATAAATAAAAATGGGTATGATTATATTGTTTTTTAAAAATAAATGCGAGTGATGCAGGAATTCTAAATATATAACTCACAATACTTACATATATGAAAGGCTGAGTCACTGTGCAAAGAAAAGGGAAGACGGTAAAAGGTAAAGTGGTAAAACATGTTCTGAAAACAGTCTATTCTAATGAATCCCAAAGACTAGCACGGAAGAAAGTAGTAGAGTGAAAACCACCTTTAGACCAGCAATAAAGATGTTCCCATGACTGGTAAATGGACCCTCATACTATGGATCACATTCCTTACAACCGAATGTTATAAATGAAGCCAAGATTGTGTCCTTTAAAGTAGTTAAGAGCATAGGTTTCTGGGTAGGCCTGGTTCAAATCCCAGTTCCACCACCTTCTTATGTAACCTTAAATAGGATATTTAGCCCCTAAGTCTGTTTTGGCCTCTATAAAATAAGAATAATTCCTATTTCATAACTGTTCTGAGAATTATATGAAATACTGTATGCAAAGTACTTAGCCTAGGGCATGGAACTTGATAAATTAATCTTTATAAATTATAAAGTAATTCTGATTTTCAAGTACATCATAGGTTAAACATAATCGAACATTAAGTGGAAACTGTCAGAGGTTAATTCATTTTAATGTTAGGGAGTTTCAATATTTATACAATAGGATCACAGAGCATGTTTGTACTAATCAAATGTTATCATTCTAATCCAAAATATCTCTAGCATACACATTCAAATGGGAAGTATTTTCAAGTCATTTGGCATAAGAATAAATACATAAAAGGGAAATAAACATAATAACAATAGTTACTTAGAAATAACCTATTTCTAAGGCTTATGTATGCAGATAGGGCTGTTATGAAAAAAGGATAGGCCAGTTGTTTGGGACAGGTGGTATAACATTAACAAAGGGGAAAAAGCAAAGAAGGGAACTTACTAAAACACCGATTTGTGACATATACTATACATTTTCTCATATATTTACCTATTTATATGCTATCACATTCCATGGCAATAGGTAATCTTCTAACTAAAAGCAATGAACAATCAGCTTTAAAAAAAAAAGTGCTAGCTTATAGACCTTGCAAATTATATTGCACAAAACTATGGCTATCATCAGGAAAATAACTTAGATTTTTTAACTAGACCAAGTAGTCACAGAGCATACAAAATTATTAACACCACTGAAAATATGTAAATATACTCTGAATTTAAATTTAAAAATGAGATGTATACTAGAACCAAAAACTAAGAACTTCTAAGTCTTAAAAACAAAATATAAAATAGATGGATTGTAGACTCCTAGGAAAGCAAAAATGTGTCGAATACAGCATGAATTCTTTAGAACAGTCACTAACTAATCATTTTAATAGTTTATTATCTATTAAATAGTAAATTAAGGGTCTGTCATCCTACAATACTTGGTAGATCTGAATTTCTTCAAACATCTGAAAAAACTCTTTTACAATTACTTTCAGGTAAAAATGGGGGGGGGGGAGGGAAGGGTGTAAATGAACTAATAAAACTATATCATTGGATTTATTGCTAATTGTGCAACTATAAAACCACTAAGACCTAGGAATTACTAAATATGGCTTTCACAGAACTCTGTACCTGACCCTTCTTATTTCAAAAATGTCATTAATTTCAATAGAAAGAAAGAATTTTGAGAGAGATATATGCCGTAACTTTAGGTTAATAATCTTGGGGAGGGGAGAAGTCCACAAATTTTAAAGATCAGTATAGAAGCAACTAAAATTAAAGTGAAATAGAATAAGGTAGTCATTTTTTTTTTTTTTTAATTAACTGCAAAAAAAAAGATAGGTTAGCCGAAACCGGTTTGGCTCAGTGGGCAAAGCGTAGGCCTGCAGACTGAAATGTCCCAGGTTTGATTCCCATCAAGGGCATGTCCGTTGGTTGCTGGCACATTCCCAGTAGGGGGTGTGCAAGAGGCAGCTGATGGATGATTCTTTCTCATCGATGTTTCTAACTCTATCCCTCTCTCTTCCTCTCTGTAAAAAATCAATAAAATATATATTTAAAAGAATAAAATAAAATAAAATAAAATAAAATAAAATAAAATAAAATATAAAAAGATAGGTTAGCTAAGACTTGAATTAGCAGCCATTCCTATTGAAATGACTGAAAATTAAATATGAGGTAACCATAAGACTTTATGACCCAAAATTAATAATATTCTGTTGAGTAGGATTGGGAGAAGGGATGTTACCCTTTAAAATTATTACACTGGATTAACTTTTTAGATATAAGAGGTTTCTTTTGAAAAAAAACTTGGGAATATCTGTTTATTAGTTTTGGATGGTAACTCTTCTATTTCTGGTTGCATTCTTTTATGGGTACTAAAAGCAGCACTTAAGGCACCATGAAATCTACAATAAATTAAGAAGAGCCACCAAAAAAACATATATATATATATATTCTCTGCTCCAATATGTTAATATAAAAGATATAAAATTAGAAGATATCTTAAATAATTACATTAAACCTTAGACCTAATATAGACCTAATATTTGAAAATTAAGTATTTTCAAATATTAGGTCTATATTGACTTTATAAATGCTGAAAATTATATCATTATATTACTGTTAAATAAAAAAGGTCACAATAATGTAAACAATCTGATTACAAGTACATGAACAACTATATTTAAATGGAAAATTACTGAAAAAGGCTGCCAAAGAACAGAAATAATTCAGTATTAAAGTCAATAGATGGTTTTAAAATAATAACAGTAACCAAATACTGAGCACTCACTATGTGGGAGACACTGGGCTAAGTGTGCAGTTTAATTTACGTAACCATCTAATGCAAAAAGTTGTCATCTTGCCATTTTACAGTTAAGTGTTTCCCAAACTTTTGACATATGTGTACCCCTTCTATAATTTTCGTAACGCTGAGTACCCCTCGTACTCTTGAGAACGTAGAATTAGGCACAGCTAAGCACGGTGCAGTGCATATCCCCACCAAACTCCAGTGCGAGGCGTACCCCCACCAAACCCTGGGGGTCCGCGTACCACACTTTGGGAAACACTGAACTGTTAAGTAAACTAAAGATCTGACAAACTAAAACTTGACAACCTTTGTTTCAGTTAAGGAGTCAAAGGCCTGGCCACCTTTACCAAGTTTTGTCTAACTCCAAAATCTAAGCTCCTAGTCACTACCAGCTCCTAACATTAAGTAACGAGCTATCAGGAACTTCACAAATACTAACTTCGAAAAAACAAATCTACAAATGTAATACTGTGCACTCGCCCGTTGTCACAAGTTCCTAATTGAGATTAGAATTAATATCCCATAGTACCTGCTGTTGTAGACTTTCCAACTCCACCCTTTCCAGAAGCCACAACTATAACTTGTTTAACACCTTCTATTGGCTTCTGCTTTGGGAGTCCGCGGGACATGATTTGTGTTCTTCTCTGTTCTAGGGTCTCATTTTCAGCGCCAGATAACTTAAAAAAAAAAAAAAAAAAAAAAGTTTTAAAATAAGCCATCTTTATTATCAGGCCTTGAAAGTAAAAACTATTCGGAGTTTGTGATTAAAAGAGCTTTTTTTTTTTTTCAGTCCAATTTAATTCATTTCTAGTAGGTAAGTGCTATTCACCTACTGCCACTGATCAAAACCCAGGAGACACGTGGTTCAGCTGACTTGTCTGTCAAGACGCCCAAACGTTAAAAAAGGGACCCCACGTGTTTGCCTTCTCTACGTACACCGAGGCTAAAGAATGCCACGTGCAAGTGACACATCCGGTTCCAGCCGCCGCTCCCCGTCCTCCACACCGCGGCCTCCTCCCACCGGGCCTGCGTGGAAGGCGGGGGCCCAGCCGCCGGCCTCACGGAGCTGCCGGTGGGCGGACCCCGGGGCTCGGGAGCCTTGGGCGAAGGCCACGCCGGGCGCCTGCCGCCCCGCGCCGGCAGCTCCGTCCCGCCCCGCCCCTCCCGCTGCACCACGGACCTGGCGCCGGCAAACCGGGCGGCCGCCCCAGAGCGGGAGGCAGGCCCCGCCACCCCGGAGCGACAGCCCGCCAACACGCGGCCAGCGCTGCCAAAACCCCATCCCGCAGAAGGCGGCCCGCAGCCCGGCCGGAAACGTCGCTGTGGGCGCCGGGTGATGACGTCACATAGAAACGCCCGGCTTCCTCTCCCTAGCGACTAACCTCCTTTGAGTTTCTTTCTTTTTTTTTTTCTTTTCTTTTTCTTTTTCTGGTTTTTTTGTTTTTTGTTTTTTGTTTTCCCAAAGTCATTTTAATTCTACATTTAGATGAATTTTCCACATTGGCACTATGTGAATTTTCATTGAGAAACTATATTCTGAAGCAAATATTTGATCAATCACATTTACTAAACATTGTTTTAATTAAAATAATTTGATTGATTTAGTCATTTTAATGAACATTTTATACATTTACAAAAGTCTAGCTAAATCAGAAAGCAGGTTTAATTAAGCAAGTTTTGCTCAAGAAAGAACTTACATGAGGAAGGAGGTGGAATTTATCTTGACAGAAGGCAGTATGTCTACAAAGTGGATAAGTGAGTGAAGGAAATAGGTTTAAGAGAGAAAGATAAACACTGATACAGGAACCCAGACCCCAAAAAAAGGATCATTCAGGGTATGGGATGGTTTACCCTGGCATGTCTCCATAATATTTTCTTTTCTCTTTTTAATATATTTTATTGAGTTTTTACAGAGAGGAAGAGAGAGGGATAGAAAACTAGAAACATCTATCAGCTGCCTCTTGCACACCCCCTACTGGGGATGTACCCACAACCAAGGTACATGCCCCTGACCGGAATCGAGCCTGGGACCTTTCAGTCCGCAGACCAACGCTCTATCCACTGAGCCAAACCAGTTTCGGCCATATTTTTGAAGGTTGATTTTAATTTCTATCTGTAGGGAATTTGTTGTATAATCATTCAGTTAATTGTGTTCTAACCTGATCTAATTTCCTTTTCTTTAATACAGGCATAATATATCAACCTCAGAGAATTCTTATGAGGATCAAATGAAATATTACCAGCAAAATACATTAAATATAATAAGTTGGGGGAAATTCAGTTTCTTGCTTTTTCTCCTCCAATCTCACTATCTTATTGCTTCTTTAAACTTTCTTTACCTCTTACTAAGTTTGACACATTTAACTTACCATTTTATATCACTTTTTGTTATTTTGTGATGTGTTTCCTCAGCTGATTTATTAATTTTTAAATGTTTATCTGCTCAATGTTTATAAATTATAGGCCAAAAGAATAGGGATAAAAGGGATAGCTATCAGAACAATACATTCACAAGACAGGAAATAATAAATATCTGTTTCTCTACACATAGCTTTGTAAGTTCTTCCAGACTTCTAAAGATTCATTCATTTACAAACATTTACTAGTACTGAACATCTACTATGTTCCAAACACTACACTAATCTTAGCGTTTTCAACATTGAACAAGACATAATTTCTCCACTCATGGACTTTACATTATAACAAGAGAGACAGAGTATATTATCTAACAATTACAGTATGATGTAATAAGTATAGGAAAAAGGTACTGAGTGATACAGAAGTATAAACAAAGAGCACCCAAATTAAGCAAGTATTGCTTCTGGATAAGGTAACATCTAAGCTGACCCCTAAGTGTGGCTTATGTGTAGTAGTGCCCTAGGAGAATAGCTACTGAGTTGTTGTGCAGAGGTGAGAAACAAACTGTTAATCTCTGAAAATAATCTATGTGGCTTGAGCATAGATTATTTTCAGAGGTATCAGATTGAAAGAGGTTCAGATGGAGGTTGTTAAAGATAAATGTTGTCCAGGCCTTGAAATGCTTTGTAGGCCATGTAAAGGAATTTGGATTTTATCATGAAGGAACCATAGAAAGATTTTAAACAGGAAAGTAACATGATAAGATTTGTGTTTTAGAAATGCCACTCTGATTATTAGGAAAGAAGGGGGAGAGTGGATAAGGAGAGACAATAGCAGAGGCTGGGAAACAAGAGGTTATTGTAGTAATCCAAGAGAAATGTGAAAGCTTGACTTAACAAATCCAAATTTCACTTTGCTTACCCATAAAATAGGTAATACCTACTTGCAAAGTTGCTGTAAGGCTGAATTTAAAATAATGCATATAGAATGCTTAGTACACATACCTATTAACCGTTAGCTATTGTGATGATTTGTGGTTGTGAGGAGGTTTATGATGTGAGCAACTAGATGAATGGTACTAACATTCTCTAAGAGAAAACACAGGGGAGGAACAAGTGAGACCAATGTTTGCAGAATGAATGAATCATTAATTAGATTTACCTGTCTGCAGATTTGGATATCAGGAGTATACCAAAGATATCTATTGTTTCTTCTTCAATAATCACAGCCACACATACAGGTATTTACTCAAAATAGTATTCTCCCTTAGTTCCTAAGAACTCATAAGTTATTTGACCCCCATCCCCATGGTCACTAATTGGAATAAAAATTGACATGCAACCAAAATTGAACAGAGATTTTAAAAAAGAAAAGATACTACTCAATCTTAGTTTGCATTTGCATTGATAGGCTGTGCACACAGAAGCAGAAAAAACCAATGCCTTGAGAGAAGAAGAAAGCCAACCAGAAGAGATGATGTGCCCAAAGAGAGAAGGAAGAACAATTGCACTAGTTCATAATAGCTCTCCCGATCCTATTTCTAGTCCATAGTGAGTTTCAACTGTACCTCCTATTATTGGGTCCATGAAATATACTTACATCCATCTAACAAATTCTCTTTCCTCTTTTGCTTAATTTGGGTGGGTTTCTATGTACTTGTAACTATGGTGAGCTATATTTTGTAATATTTATCAGGGATTTCCCCCCTATATTTCTTGTACCTCATATAGCCCTTCCCCATTTGGAAAAAGTATGTGGTGTCATTGTATGATATTGCAGAATGTTAGAGAAAGGAAATTATTTCTTTTCTTTTGAATTTTGAAAGTTAGGAGCTTTTAAGAGAATGGGGACAGCTCTGACAATGACAATAGATTTGGAAGAACTATATGATAATATAAAAACATTGTTTCGAAAGTAGGGAGGGAGGATCCAAGATGGCTGCTCGGGTAGACATCTAGCCGCGGCAGCACACAACAATTTCAATGGAATACAACTAAAATGTAGAGTGGACATTGCCCAGAGCTACAGGTAGTCGACTGACTGAAATTTCTACAACAAGAAGGAAAGAGAAAACCAGAAAGAAAATCAGAGGAGCTGAAAAAAAGCCTAAGGTACGGAGACATGCTGCGCGCGCCTGCCAGCCCGCACGCGCGCACGGAGAGGTCGCAGCCTGAGAGGAGGAGAGGGCGGGGAGCCGCCTTTCCTTCCCTAGCAGGAAGGAAATAAAACCCCCAGCCTGGGCTGAACCCCCGAACCGGCAGCGCTGAGCCCCCCCGAACCGGCAGCGCTGAGCCCCAGTTATGGGCCAGACCCTGGGGACCCAGGCTCCGGCGGGAGGAGACAGGGCCATGAGGCGGAAAAACGGCGAAAAGCAGGGCCCCGGGAGTCGCGCGCAATGCGCGCAGAGGACTGAATGTTGACTCTGATGCTGGGTTGCCCGAGCCAGAAGAAACAAGGCCTCCGGCGACGCTGAGCCTCAGTCCGGACTGCTCCGAACCCCAGTTCTGGGCCAATCCCTGGGGACCCAGGCTCAGGCAGAGGGAGACGGGGCTGTGAGGTGGAGTCCGGGGAGAGCGGCGAAAGGCCTGGCCCCCGGGACTCGCGCAAACTGCGCGCAGAGGACAGTCTGTTGACTCTGATGCTGGACTTCCCTAGTGGGAAGGAGAAAAAAAAAGCTCTAGGCTGGGGGAACGCGGAGGGGAGCGGAAGCCCCTGCCCGACTCCAGCCAACCAGGCACCAGCAAGGAGGCGGGCCACGAGGCCCCTGGGGGCGTGGGTGCCCCTGAGCCTTTGACCACTGAGCTCGGGCAATGGAGCCAAGGCCGGGGGCTGCTTCCTGGGCGGCGCCGTCCCGCTAACAGGCTGAAGCAGCACAGGAGCCCACGGAGAACAAAGGGGTGCCACAGGCCAACCTGCTGAGCTCCCAGGACAAGGAGGAAGAAACCAAAAAAGTTCTCAATGTGAAGAAATCAAGTGAGAGCGAAAAATAGTAAAATTACTTAAGAAAGAATACAAAGAAGATCTTGAAAAATCAAAGACTAAGTCAGAACTCAACTCACCAGCCAACATTGCAACATAAATGCGTTTTAAAAAGAAAAAAAAAGGACAGAATGTTGGAACAGCGACGGCCAGGCCTAGAGTGGCCAGGCACAAGGCAGTGGCAGCCAGACCCGGAGCAGCAACGGCCAGGCCCCAGAACAACAGCAGCCAGAACCAGAGCATCAACAGCCAGCACTGGAGTAGCCAGACCTGGGGCAGTGGCAGCCAGGCATGAGGCGGAGGCGGCCAAGCCCAGGGTGGCCAGTCCAGGAACACCCAGACCCGGAGTGGCCGGGCCCGAAGAAGCTGGGCCCAGAGCAGCCGGGGTGGGAGCAGCCAGACCCAGAACAGCAGCAGCCAAGCCCAGAGCATCCAGGTCGGGAGTGGCCAGGCTCGGAGCGGCCGGGCCCGGGGCAGCCGGGCCCAGAGCAGCCGGGTCAGGTGCGGCCAGGCCCGGAGCAGCAGCTGCCAGGCTGGGAGCGGCCAGGCCCGGGGGAGCAGTCGGGTCGGGTGCGGCCAGGCCCGGAGCAGCGGCTGCCAGGCTGGGAGCGGCCAGGCCCGGGGGAGCAGGCGGGGCTGGTGCGGCCAGGCCCGGAGCAGCGGCTGCCAGGCTGGGAGCGGCCAGGCCCGGGGGAGCAGGCGGGTCGGGTGCGGCCAGGCCCGGAGCAGCGGCTGCCAGGCTGGGAGCGGCCAGGCCCGGGGGAGCAGGCGGGGCTGGAGCGGCCAGGCCCGGAGCAGCGGCTGCCAGGCTGGGAGCGGCCAGGCCCGGGGGAGCAGGCGGGTCGGGTGCGGCCAGGCCCGGAGCAGTGGCTGCCAGGCTGGGAGCGGCCAGGCCCGGGGGAGCAGGCGGGTCGGGTGCGGCCAGGCCCGGAGCAGCGGCTGCCA